GTCACACATTGAAACATTTATGTGATAATGAAAAGAATCGATCACTGTATTTGACAGACATACACAACATGTTGCAGTCATCTCATAGTGGTTAGTTTTTTATGCATTGCGTATTATATAAATAAAAACTAAAAATATGAATATTTGATAGATGTAATGATTTAATACCTGGATCCTATGATCGTCAAAGTTTTGAAGTTGCTTGTCATGTGGCAAACGAGACAGTATCCGCAATACACGTAGAACGCATTGGTTATCATCCATCCCATGAATTCAGCAAATTTACCACTGAGATTGTCATTCGAATATCCCTTGAAAGAGGCGATATAAACAAAATTTTAGAGACAGGTCATTTTATCTTGGAATGCTCAAATTGAAAAAAAAATCATTGGGACTGACTTACATGGAAATAATCATACATGTATATACGCAAAATCAGTGATTTACACAAAACGCACCTTATACGTTTCTAAAACCATATTATTGACAATTTGGTGTTACCCCAAATCAATGAAGTGTTACTGTATTTGATCATATTTTGTGATATCGTTTTAAGGTAGCGATGCAGTTTATTTGTGAATTTTAATCAAAAATATTTTTTTTTCGTTTTTTATATAGATTGTTATCTATTTGACCAATGAATTCATATTGGAACACCGTTAAAATTGCTGGTTATTTTCTGGTTAAAAATAAAAAAACACTCACACGTGGCAATGTTTATGTCCAATTGCCTAATTTTCATGAGTGGGCATATAACAGGACCTTTGATTGACAATATGCAAATCAAGATTGTACGGGTCATAGTTCATTCAATCACGCGCATGTGCAATTATTATTAAATCAGTTCTCACTCGCTAGCAAACCAAACATTATATTTCCTCGGCGTTTTTCCTATTTTTATCATTACATTTTGCGTGATGTGAAAAGAATGAGAGGTAGAAAGAAGATTCGAATGATATATGTCAGAAGAGGCAAAAGCTACACTGAAGACATCAGACCGCCGAACGAAAAACAAAATCGATGTGAGCGTCTAAACGTGACTTTCCCTGAAGGCGTGAATCCGAGATTCTGATTGACTGAGAGATTTTATTTTTAAATAATTGTTCTCAAAAAATAAACTGAGCATGTGAAGAATAATTTAACATTGTTTGCAGTGATAACAGCTCATTGTCGAAACGAAGAATGCGTTCAAAATGCGTCCGAACAGTATATTACGGCAAGTGGAACAAAAATAACAAGTCCGCAATTAATATAGATATATAAATTATGCAAAAATAGAAAAGAATGAACTTTGAGGTCATGCTGTGCGACTTTGAAAGTCGTTAGAGAGATGAGTGGACGCATTTGAATTAGTAGTATAGCAAGGTATCCAGTGATGTAATTTCACCCACAAACCACTTTTGCCCAAAAAAAAACATATTTTTGACCCAAAATCAAAAACGCATTCTGGATATTTAAAATAAAGACAAGTTGTACAAAGTTTGTATAATAAGCTTTCAGAAAATATATAACATGTTAGATATATAATACCATCTTCATTGTCTAATTACTCAATTAAAAAACAAGCCAAATAAACTGCATCTCTACCTTAACCTCATATCCCGCCTGAAATACTCACCCTACTGAGGGAAAACTGTCTGTCCATGTTGAGCAATAACCTAAACGTTAGGAATATTACACCGGCTCTAGTGGTCACAGCAAAACTTCACCCAGTCACCCAGTAGAAACTTTCGAGGCTGAGTGACAAATATACACACAGTATCTGCAGCTAGGCAGCAAAGACGGGGATGTTTCTGACTCATATTTCTATTTTTATATCGTCATAATATGTGATACGCCAATGTGATTGTGCAAGATTTAATCAGTTTACTTTTACGATGTGATTGGCTACTGCATTAAATTTTATTAAGGAAAATTCCCTAAGAGTCCAAAAAGAGATTAGTGACTCAGACCTTCCAAGAACACTTACACGTTCAATAGAATGAATGACGTTCGAAAACCCTTTTGGTTATCTAGGATTGACC